TGCATCATAAAAAATGTTGTAAAAACATAATAAAATTGCTCAGTTGAATGTTAACATTCTCAAGTGTCTTTGCTCTACCCACATCGTAGGAACCAGTTTCATGCTAATTCTATTTCCTTTTTCACCAGAGTTTATTATGTTTCGTGTTATGCAAACATGTGATTTGTTGTAAATTGTGACCATTTGCTGCTTATATTAAGATTCCTCATAATCTAAATTCTAAAAGAAGAATTCTGTTCTCTAGGTTGCTTTTAATAAGGAAATTGGAACTCCAAGTGTGACACTTGAAGGAGATATATTTCAGCCAAGTGGACTCCTTACTGGTGGTAGCCGAAAGTATGTGGTCAATTTCTTCCTGTTTGATCTCGGGTGTATATGTAATTGTATAATAAGGGCGTATTGTACTGCTTGTGTTTGCTGAAATTTGAATTAATTGATTTGGTGGCCATACTTATTCAGTGTCTGGCTTAGCTTCATGCTTAACTTTTAGAGCACATATTGCTTGGTTGCTGCAGGGGTGGTGGTGAATTGTTGAGGAAGCTTCATGTTATGGCTGAGGCTGAATCCAAACTTTTGTTGCATCAGGAGCGTCTCTCTGAAATTGATGCTAAGGCTAGTTTTTTCTTTAGCCTCAGAAATCCAAACAAAAATCCTTTTTCACTGGTCTTCTTTTTTTCTCCTCAAATGTCCATAATTTTATACCTGGGATTAATTGTTGTAGGTGTTAAATGATTTGTGCAATGCCCAACTTTTCTTTTGTTGTACAACTGTTTTAAGCTACGAAATGATTATATATCTTCCACTTTATGTTGTTGGAATCATGGATTTGACTTTCTTTGTTTGGGTATGTAGATCAATGAGCTACGGCCTCTTGAGAAAAAGTTTAAAGATCTTAAGGCACAATTGGAACTTAAGTCATATGATCTTTCATTATTTCAGAACAGAGCTGAGCAGAATGAACATCACAAGGTAGTATTTGTACCATCTGGGTTTGCATATGTTGTATGAAGTTATATGCCATTATCTTTCTTTTACCTTATACTCCGTAATCATTCTGATGCAGTATTATTCTCTTTGATAATTTCAATTTAGTTACCATACTCATTTTAATCAGTACATCGCCATTTTTTCATACAGCTTGCAGAATTAGTAAAAAAGATTGAGCTTGAACTAGAGGAATCAAAATTAGCTTTGAAAGAGAAAGAGCTCCAGTATGCAAACTGGATTAAGAAAGTGTCATCTCTTGAGAAGTCCATCCATGAACATGCTGGTAGTAGAGAGGATAGGCTCAAAGATCTGGAAAAGAAGATTAAGACAGTAAAGGGTCAGACTCAATCATTGTTGAAGGACCTTAAGGTAAACTTTCTTATTAACAGTTGTAGAAACTATGTGGAACCTGCATATTCTTATCTCAGTTTTTCGGAACAACTAATTTAGGAAGCATTTAGAATTGAAGCGAACATTCATGAACGTTTGACAATTATTCTGTTTTATTGCATTCTACTGGTATTGGTAGCCCTCTTGGTTTATATGGATATGGTAAATCATGGGGCTTGCAATTAAATAATCATGTAATACTATCAGGGGCACGAAAATGAAAGGGAGAAGCTCATAATGGAGGTAGACGCTGTGAAACAGGAATATGCTGCAGTAGAGAGCCAGTTGACTTCTTTGAAGAAGCAGATTACTGACCTTACTATGGGAGTGGATTCTCAGAAGGCAAAGGTTATTTCTATACATCAAGTATTTGCAATTACTAAGAAAAAATAATTCCTTTTGTCCTTTGCGCCCAATTCGGATGGAAAAAAATGGAGAAAATGGAAATAAGAGAAAAATTGTTCGGAGTAATAGACCATCTTACCTTGTTTGGATTTAGGTGTAAAAAAGGGATGGAAAAGAGTGTTTGTTTTTTATCTCTTCCCAATCCCTCCAATTCGGAAAGAAAGCAATTTTGAAAGGCTCATTTTACTTTTTCTTCCCACTCTCATTATTTTGCATTAATAAAAATCAGAGGAAAATTACTGAAAGGAAAATAAAATATCCAAACAAAACTAATACTTCCTGATGCAGGTTGTTTCTGTGAAAAATGACTATGACTTGGCCCAAAAAGAACTGGACTCAGCACGATTGAAGATGAAGGAATGTGACACACAGATTTCAAGCATTTTCAAGCAGCAGCAGGAGCTTCAAAGCAAACTTAGTGGGGCTGCTCTTGAGAAGAAGAGACTGGAGAATGAGGTTTAGCATTTACTTAAATAGTCATATATTCTCTTGTTTTTTATGTGTGTTACTCATGGAAAGCATCTCTCATCTGCAAACTATTTTCAGGTAAAACACAAGGAGATAGATCAGAAAGACTGGTCACTTAAGGTGGAGAAATTGCTTGAAAAGCATGTGTGGATTGCGTCAGAGAAACAACTTTTTGGGAAAAGCGGAACCGATTATGATTTTTCAGCACATAATCCTCGTAAAACCAAAGATGAATTTGAAAAGCTACAGGCTGAACAATCAGGGTAACATTCTTTTTTTAATAAATATCTTAAGTTAGTTTTCTGGAGTACAAATTCTAAATATTCTAGGTGGAATATATCTATTTTTAGACTTGATTATCTTTTAATATACTTGGGTAACAGCCTTGAGAAGAGGGTAAATAAAAAGGTCATGGCTATGTTTGAAAAGGCCCAGGAAGAGTACAATGATTTGATAGCTAAGAAGAACATTATACAGGTAACATTCTTCAATCACTAGTTATTAGTATAATGTTTGTTTTGGTTGTATTGTCTTCTTTTGCTTGAGCATTGTCTTCATGTAGGAAGATAAAGAAAAAATCAAGAAGGTGATTGAAGAGCTCGACGAGAAGAAGAAAGAAACACTTAAAGTTACTTGGGAAAAAGTTAACAGGTAGAGAATGCTTCAATGCTTTCATCTACACTCATAGTTATTACTGTAGTATATATTTTTTCAATCATAATGCACAATTGTGGATTTCTTGCATTTTTAATTCTTTCTGGTTATTCATTCGACAACAATCAACCTGCGTATTTGGAAACTCATCCAAATAACTGGTTGTTCACTAAAGTCTTAAAAGTGAAAGTCACGGATCAAAAGTGATTTTTTCATTAGTCTGAGACAAATTTGCTGTTTTTTCTGTAATTTCACTATGCTATTTTTAAGAGATAGATTACTCTTTCCAGGGACTTTGGATCAATATTCTCCACACTCTTGCCTGGAACGAATGCAAAGCTGAATCCTCCAGAAGGATGCAGTTTCTTGGACGGCCTGGAGGTCTGTGTAGCATTTGGAAGTGTTTGGAAACAATCACTTTCAGAGCTTAGCGGTGGACAGAGATCTCTACTAGCACTTTCTCTCATTCTGGCTTTGCTTCTTTTCAAGCCAGCTCCACTGTACATACTTGATGAGGTATTTCAAATATATATCCTCCCACCCCCTTGTCGAATTTATAATCTGCATTTTATAACGGAGTTTATGTATCGTTCGGTTCAACATGTGTCATAATTCAGACATAATAAAATTGCTGCTCTGTAAAGTTTCAGGGTATATCTAAAGTTATGTGAAGACATTTATTCTTCTAGATAAAGCACTCATAACCTTGGTTATATTTATGATCTTATTTCAGTTCCAAGCTTACTACTATTAGAAATTTTACTGCATTTTTCAACATTTGAAAAGTCTAATATCTAAAAAATAAATTTACTTATATACTTTTGTATTTATTTGCTTGTTGACATGTAGATATTTGTCTAGAGATGTTTCAGTAATTTAGTCTGTATAGCATACAGTGAACCAAACGACTTAACATGACATTACCCACTCTTAATCAAGGATGCCCCTCAAGTTACCTTACTCCAGTACGCTCTTACATAATTCAATTCAGTTGTATTTTAAAAGGCAAACACTGGTTTGTGGCAGGTTGATGCAGCTCTCGATCTTAGTCACACGCAGAACATTGGCAGGATGATCAAGAGTCACTTTCCACATTCCCAGGTTCTCTTTTTACTATCCACATCCCAAAATGAACTCGACATTTTGATCAAGAGTATTTTCATATAACATACATTATAAAAATAATACGGATGATGGGTATACGGGGACCCGTCCTAATACACCTGGTAAGATCTAGCCCATTGAAATGGGTCGGGCTAACTTGACCCAAAAGTGAGTTAAGGAGTCTGTCAAGTGGCATATTGAGGTAGGAGACAAAAGAGTGATCTCCATGATCCTCCCCCATGTCCATGGGTCATGTTAGTAGCTTGCAAGAGTTGGACAACCTCTTGATGTGTATAAATATACTCTATCTTAGCCTGGGGCAGACATCACATTTCTGATATATGTAGGGAATGTTATCAAGAAAGAGCGATTATTTGGTCGATGAATTTTGACTCAAAAATCAAATTGATGAGTTCATTTGGGGACGAAAGTGAAGGGTGTATATAAATTAAGAATGTGGGAAGTTAACGTGAGATGATAAGGTGTGTTTTGTTATGGTGCAGTTTATTGTTGTGTCTTTGAAAGAAGGGATGTTTACCAACGCAAATGTGCTTTTCCGAACGAAATTTGTTGACGGTGTCTCCACCGTGCAGAGGACTGCCGCAGCAAAGGACAAGTAGTGATGTGAGGGTGATGTATGGCATTCTGTAAGATCAAATAGTAGTAGTACTAGTAATGATGTAATTATTGTGAAATGAAACTCTTTAGTGAATGTGTAAATCTCTAGTTTTCACACATTTTATTTAAGGTTTAAACTCAAGCGCTAATACTATAATTCAATTCATAAACATTGCCCGAGTAGCGTAGCTGAGATGATTCAGAGGTGAGTAACAAAGTGGTAAATTCAGATTCGATTCCTGACAACGATGATAAAGATTGACTAGATCGATCTTAGTACTCAGATTAAAACCATATTTTCCCTCTCAATTCAATGTCTGAATCGGCATACGGCTTGGGGTTCAATCTTTTTTCCAATGCATAAATACCATTATTTTACAGAGTAGAATTTAATTACTCCTTAATATCATTTAAGTTGTGATGGCGTGAAAAGTTAAAGTGGAAGAAAGATATGAGATATAGAGTAGAAAAGCATATATTACAAATCATATAGGCAAAAAAGAGAAAAATCAAAGAGAAGAAAATTGCTACAAAGAAATAGAGTAATCCATGATAAATAACTATATATAGTCTTTAAAAAGTTATGTTTTGGACAACAGAAAAGAGATAGTCATCCTCACAAACACCGCCAGCAACCAACGGCGCTCCGTTATTAATAATGTTGTTGTTACCATTTTCCCCTTCCATTTTCGCATTCATCTCAACCTCTGTCGCCTTAGGATTAACCTTAGGCATGGCTGCCTGCAACATAGACACAACATCCCTCATCGACGGCCGGTCTGCCGGATTCCGGCAAGTGCACAACAGCGCAACCTTTAGCAACAGCATCATCGTCTCCTCTCCCGCCGCCGTATCGGGACAAGTACTTGTGCCCATAATGTTTTTGTCAAACACTTCCATTTGTTGTTGTTTGTTGGTGGTGCCGCCGTGTTTTCTGGTGGTCGTCAATTTGGAGCGGACCCAGTCGACGACACTATTGCCTTCTCCGAATTCACTCTCCACCGATCTTTTGCCGGTGAGTATTTCGAGGAGCACCACTCCGTAGCTGTATATGTCGCTCTTCTCGTCAAACTGTAACGTATATGCATACTCTGCATGCCAAACACATACACACAAATTTCAATTAGACATTTTACTTTTCCTAAACTCTGTGTAAAAAGTAAATATTTCTTAACTTCTGTGTTAAATAAGGTGAAAAAAAAATATTGATGTGAACATTAGGTCTATAATAGTACTCATTCCATATCTTAAACTATTCCCCTTTTTTTCTTGTCCAATAACTCCTTTCCTTATCTATAAAAATAACTTTTATCTTTTACTTTTTTACACCATACCTATCACATCATACCAATTTACTAATAATCTATCCATCACTTCTTATTTTCACACATCACATCAATGGTATTTTTGGAAAATCAACACTTAAATGTCCCTCTCTTAATTTCTCAAAAAAGTCAATAAGGGAATGACTTTAAGGGATGGAGGGAGTAAAACTTATGTGGACTCATATTTGGAGAAGAAGTACGATTAATAAGAGAAAAAGGCATGGCAAAATAAAGGAGTCCAAATGGGATTTGGGGTGTGGGGGTATAAAATCTTTGGCGTAAAGTCAAAACAGCACTATAAAAGTGATGATTAACGTAACCCGGGGTTAATAATAATTATAACAATAATTACGTATTGATCATCTATGGTTTTCGAAATCTTTGTAGGGTCCAAAAATAGAATGGAAAGAAGTGGAGTTTAAATTAAAGTTAAATGAGTTGTTCTGTTAAGCTTTAACCAATATTTCACATACTGTACCTAATTTAATCCCGGCGCATGCAGGAAAGGTGCATTATAGCACATATAAATAATGCGCTATGTTTATATGGGTCACAACACAATCCCACCCTTCAACAAATCATTAGAATTCACTATTTAAAAATTATGAAAAATATTATTTCTTTATGACTTTTTATTAAATCTTTGATAAAATAAAATATTCTATAACTTTTTAATTTGTAAAATTTTTGATGCAGCTTTTAAATATCTAATTTTTTTATTTCTATACAAATCTTTAAAAAATAGTTTGAAACAGCTTAAACTTTTGTTTAATTTTACGTAATACGGAATATTACATTATTTTTGGGACGAAGGGAATACAAAATATTAAAGTAGAATTTCTTTAAAATTTTATTTTGTTTGACGTAATACACGGAGTATTACATTAATTTTGTTTTAATATTAGTAGAAGTTCTTTTTTGCCAAGAAAAAGTAGAATTTCTTTTTGGAATAAGAAGGGCGGGTATAATTAGTAGAAACATGACACCACATTGTGCATGAAAATGTGAGCTTCTTTTGTCACGTCGAATGAAAAATTAAAGTGCTCCTTTAATCAATAAATTAAAATGTGCCAATAATCCATCAAATAAATTCTGAGTGATAAATTTTATACTCCGTAGATTCATTATAAACGAGTATGAGTTTCATTACATACGCAGTATAAAAAAATTGAATCCATATACGATTTGTGCATAGATATCATATACTCCCTCTTTCTATTAATAATCTTCTCATTGTTTCAAAAAAAAAAATCTTCTCATTGTGCGTTACGATATTTGAAAGAATTTATTTTCAAATTATTTTATATGAAAAATAAAAATTACATAATTAAAAATTATATCAAAAAATCGATCTATAAAACTAGACGTGACATTACTATATCATTTTATCTCATTTTATCAATTGAATATCACTAAAACTTAAGTCATTTTTCTAAATAGTGGGACGGAGGGAGTACTTAATAATGTCTAGAAGAAAGAATAATGTCTAGTAATGGCAAACATATACTTGAATAATAACTAATAGATAATGACTATTTAGAAAAATTCATTATGTTTTAGTGCTATTTTTGTAAATTTCTTATAAAAAATAGATCAACAAAAAAAAAATAAAATTTGACCAATATGTGAATAGTAATATACCTGGAGCAATGTAACCATAAGAGCCAGCAATGAGGGAGGAGGAGGATTCTTGAGTTTGGAGTAACAATTTGGCGACCCCAAAATCAGCAACTCTTGCTTCCATTTCAGGGTCCAGAAGAATATTGCTTGGCTTCAAATCCCTATGCACTATCACTGGGTTGCAGTCATGGTGCAAATAACTCATCCCCTGTGCTACCCCTACTGCTATCTTGTACCTTGTCATCCAATCCACCCCATTCTTCTCTCTTACCTATACATACATACATTTACATTTTTTGGATTAAGCTATTTGTACTTACACCAAAATTTGTACCACAAAGCAGTGTGACGATTTACATTGACAAAAAATATCAGTCCAAATTTTTTAAATTAAACTAACATTTTTCTACCAGTGTGAACCGTTAAAATTTCGGTGCATTTGTTTGAGTTACGACAACTTCATTTCACATTTTATTTGTACATATATATATAGATCGACTTCATATATGGTGATGAGTAAATTTGTTGTTATACCTTATTATTGGAATGGAGTAAATCATGTAGGTTCCCATTAGGCATGTATTCATATAACAACATTGTACACTCCCCGCTGGTGCAATACCCCAGCAACCGCACTATGTTTCGGTGTCTCACGCTCCCCAAGACGTCCACCTCCGCCAAAACCCCGCCCCGCTTCTTCTTCCTTTGCCTTCCTAGTATGAGCTTCTTCACCGCTATCGTCTCGCCGCCCGGCATTTCCGCCTTGTACACGACCCCCGTGGACCCCATCCCGACCACCTCGTCGCTCATCGCCACGCACTCCAACACGTCGCTCGCCGTGAAATTCAGGCGCCGGAACGCCGTCAGCTTCCACGGGCCCGCGTCGTCCCCGTGGCCCGACACCCTCGTTCCGCGTCTCGCGCGGGCCCATCGGGTGCCCGCCACGAGAACGATCAAGAAGCACATTCCGAACACTACGACCCCGAGCCACACGGCGGGGCCCGCCGCGCGCCGGTTTTTAGCATCTGGACTGTCGGACGCGGCGGGCCCGTATATCTGGCACGGTTTTTGAACCGGTTTGCCGCAGAGGCCTTTGTTGCCGAAAAACGACGAGGGGTGAAGGGTCGTGAATAGTGAACTGGAAGACGGGATGGGTCCCTCGAGCCGATTGTAGGACACGTTGAAGCTCTCGAGCGTGCGACAGTTGCCGAAATTGGACGGAATGGACCCGGAGAGGAAGTTATATGACAGGTCGACGTCGGCGATCTTCGGGAGGCCGGAAATCTCCCACGGGATGATCCCGGAGAGCGAGTTCCGGCGAAGATTCAAAAGTATGAGCTTCTCACAATGCTCAATGCTCCATGGGATGCTACCTGATAAGTTGTTTCCTTGAAGCTCAATGTTGGAGAATTCCTTACACCCTTTAAACTCTGGGATCTCTCCGGCGAGCTTATTATCGCTCGCCGAAAAGATCTGAAGACTCCGAGAATGCCAAATATTTCCCGGCAAAGCGCCTCCGAACGAATTATGGGACACGTTCAAACTCACCAGGTTCCCGGTGGGGTTACCGAAATCCTCTGGAATCCGGCCGGTGAACCGGTTCCGGCTGATATCCAGTAGTGTCAGGTTACTCAAGAAGCCGAACCCACGAGGGAATGACCCGTTCAGGTCGTTGTTTTGAATTCGGATCCTAACTAAAGTTGAACAGCTAACGAGAGATTCCGGCAACTCTCCGGCCAAGTGGTTCCCGAACAAGATCAGTTTCTCAAGCCTGTTACCTGTTAAACATGCAATATGTATCGTCTTTTAATTCAATAACAAAAAACTAATTCACAAAACTTAGAAGCTTAATTACCATGGCAGAGATGGGGTGGAATTGGACCGGTAAGAGAATTGGAAGAGACGTCGAATTTCTGTAGCTTCCCATTTGAGCCAAACCTCTGTGGTAAATTCCCAGACAATGAATTTGACCATAGATTCAAAAGTTGAAGCTCCGGGAGCTCACTAAGCCCCTCCGGAATCTCTCCCGTCAAGTCGTTATACATCAGAGACAACAGCCGGAGATTCCCCAGAGATGATAGGGACGCCGGAATGGAACCGGAGATGAAATTGTCCGACAAGTCGAGTTCTTTTAAGGATGTCAGGTTGCCCAGCTCCGGCGGGATCGGGCCTGTGAAACTGTTGTTGTAAATGATGAGGTATTCCAGCTTGTTCAGGTTTCCTAGTTCCGGCGGCAGAGTGCCGGAGAGGTTTGCAGATTGGATGTCGAGATAGAGTAAATTGGACAGTGACCCGAATTCCGGCGGGATCCCGGCGGTGTACTGATTGGAGCCGAGCTGGAAATGCTGGAGTTGGGTCAAGAGACCGAGCTCCGGCGGGATCGGACCCGTGAGGAGATTTCCGGCGAGGAAGAGGAACTTCAGCTTCGGGAAACTCCCGTAACTCGCCGGGATTTCCCCGTCGAAGTAGCTGCCGCCGAGGTTGAGGTGCTCGAGGTTCCGCAGTCGGGCGATGTCCTCCGGCAACGGGCCGGTGAAGTTGTTACTGAAAGCGTCGAAGTAAGTCAGCGAGTGGAGTCTTGAAATGCCGGCGGGAAATACGGAGCTGAAGTTGTTGTGATTAATGTCGAGTGACCGGAGAGCCTGGAGCTGAAAAATCGCCGGCGGAAAGCCCCCGCCCAGAGCATTACCGCTCAAATTCAACCGACGGAGATGGACCAAGTTCCGGATATAATCGGGAACGGAGCCGGAGAGACTCCTGCCGGAGAGATCAACGCCGGTGACAACTCCGGTGACATTGTCACATTCAATCCCGGACCAAGAGCACCAATCAGAGGATGAATCGTTCCAATCTTGAAAGGTGTTTAAAGGGTCTTTCAGAGAGGACTTCAGCGACAGAAGAGACGTCACCTCAACGGGACGTTTTGAAACAGAGGCTCCATTAACGGCGACACAGAATACGAACAAAACTGGCAAAATTGAAATGGAAACAAAAGAAGAAGAAGAAGAAGAAGGTTTGGTCATGGTTTGGGTAAAGTGGGTTGAGAAATGGTGGATATATATGGGTAAAAAAATCAAGAAGAATGAGAGGGCTATAAATATAAAGAAAGAAAGGATGGAAGATTAGGATGGGTTAAAAATGGGTTTTTGCAGAGTGGGTTTTGCTGGGGGCAGGGGATGTTTCATGATTGGTGAGTTGTTGAGTGGTTTTTGTTTGGTGTGAAGGTGGAGAAAGTGAGGGAGGGGAGGGGAGGCATGATATTCTCCAATAAGAATCAATTTTGATTTTGACACTCAAGTGTATATAGCACACTTAGATCTCTCAAACATTGTTTTAATGCCTAAATCAATTATATCTCCCAATATTATTTTTTTATTTTGTAATGTTTGGTAAAATTTGAATATTTGGTAGATGGTATGTTTTCTAATTGATGAGCATTGCTAAGTTCACTTTTTTTGTTTAATTTGCACTTTTATCATAAATGGATAAATTTATCTTTAAAACTTAAAGATAAAAAAGACAATATGCCAAGTAACATGTGAATAACCTTCCTATCTCATAAGTTTTACTTTTTAGTTTTTACTCGAACATTTTTTAAGAATGTTTTTTTGGTGCACTTTAGGTGCATACTTTTTTTTGTTGATCTTCTCACATAAAAAATTACTCTATTTTTTATATTTTTTTATTATAAAAAATGGATACTTATTTAAACATTAAGGAAATTTTGGCCCACCAAAAAATTTGACTTTCTTTAATTTCCATTTAGGGCAATTGATTTTTTCAATTTGGCCCAATTTTATATTTTAAGGTATTTTTAAAGTATCAATTAACTAAAATAGAAATTTTGTTGGAGGCAAGTGCCCCATTCCTAGTAGAGTAGATTCGTAAGTGAATGTTTGTCTTATTTTGCTTTTTGTTTTTGTGTGTGTCACACTAGCTATTATTTTCTCATTCTCATTTAGTCATATTTTTGTAATTCAAAATCATTCTTGCCTAATCTTATTTATACTCCCCTTTGATTCGATTATAAATTGGGTGTAACGATACAAAATCTCTCATTTAAAGTTTTTTTAATTTATAATTTGGTACATCAATAAGAAATAAAATTATTATTTCTGTCTCAATGCATTTGTCCAGTTTTATTTTTCTCGAGTCGAAACTAGACGAACTTTGGATCTTAATTAAATAAAAATGATAACAAATTTTAGTATATATATTATTTTAATAGATTTGTTTTGTTGAGAACTTTAAAAAAATTAATTTATTGTATTGATATGAAACACAAATTAAGAGTAATTGATACAGAGTATTTAAAAAGCATCCAGTTTAAATCAAAAAAATCAAACTGGATGAATACACTGGGGCAGAAGAATTTGTTACGGAACGAAAATTCGTTCCTTGGCTTGCACGCACACTGGAAGGCCGAATCCTTTGAGGATTTGGTTTAAGTGATTTCCTAGTTTATTTTGGTCTTGTACTCTGTGTTTCCTAGTTTACTGGTTTCCTTCTAGGATTTGGATTCTTGGCTTATAAATAGGGTTGGAGTTTTCTGTATTCAACACAACCCTTGGAGAAATAAACATAAATGCTTCACAATACTTTTATCATGGTATCAAAGCAAATCTTCTGAGACCTGTGTCGACTTAATTTTCTCGGCCAACGAGCACCACCTGCATCTTCCGATCAACAGACATGGCGGACGAGAAGGTCGAGAAAACTGAAAAACCTGTTTCACGAGTTTTCAGTGAAGAGGAAGAAATCGGAGAAAAGCAAGTCACAAAGATAAGTCCATATGAGCTGAGATCTTCGGATACTCCTGCTCTCGTCATCACCCAGATTAAATTAACTGGAGATAACTATGAAGAATGGGCCCGGGCGATGCGAATAGCTCTCCGAGCCAAAAGGAAGTTTGGATTCATTGACGGATCCATTCCTCTCCCAGAAGAAGACGAAGAAGAAGCTGAAGAATGGTGGATCGTGAACGCCATGTTGGTGTCATGGATCTTTAACACCATAGATGGATCTCTCAGAAATTCCATCACACAAGTAGAAGAAGCAGCCCAACTCTGGAACGACATCAAGGAGCGGTTCTCCGTTGCAAACGGACCTAGAATAAACCAGTTAAAAAGGGAATTGGCAAATTGCAGGCAGAATGGTCAGGCTATACCAACATA